CTATTTAAAAGAAAAAGGATTTAAAAGGGGGGAGGGGGAATTTATAAAGCTAAATATCATATTTTATTTTTCATATGTTTGAATTGTAAGAATTATTTGGTGACAGTCCCATTTGTAGGATAAAGTTACATATTTCCATTAATATGTAGTATGCTGTTCTTAAAAGAAAATTCTTATAATGAACTTTTAATTAAAATGCACTGTAAAATGAGTCTCAATTCCTTTATAGTCACACAAGACACTGGATGGTCTCTTTCATAGTTGCTCTGAGTTCAGCTACTGTCTCTCTAGAGTGATAGTGCGGTCCTGGGAGAAGCTGTCTTTATTCCCCAAGTCACAATTGTCACCGAAATGGGCACACCTATATGCACATGGAAGTCTGTGTCTGATCTTGGCTGTGGAGGGGTGTCTGAATCTCAGCCTGAGACCAGCCTCCTCGCACCTCCAGCTCTAGGGCAGGAGGCTATGGCATGGCCCGTGATGCAGCGGTTTCAGGGGAGGGGACACAGAGTGTGTGTTCATATTTGGTCTTACAGTTCTGAGGACTGGAAAGTATGTCGCCTTCTGGGTGAAAGTACTGCTTGTAGGCAGCTTCAGTGGCCCAAAGCAGTGTGCCAAGAAGTGTCTAACAGTGGTGAATTGTAATGTGCTAGCAGCAGCACTGTACTGGTGAAGTTGTAAAGTGCAGTGTCCATGGGTCTGACACTAAACCAAAGGCTCGGCTTGGTGAACTAACCCGTTGGTAGTGCTGCCTGCAAGAGATCAACCAGCTAGGGCAGAAGTGTTTAACCAGCTCAGACCTCCTCCTCTGCCAGCAGGTGTGAGGTTTCTATAAAACATTACACAACTTGGTTTCAGGTGTTCTCATTCTGATTGCCCTTAAAATAAACACCCCACAACAGCACTTTCCCTGCCCTGAGAAAAAAAACAAACTGCCTCAATATCTAAAGAACCTGTGTCCAAAGATCAGGGAGGGTGCAAAATTCTCATCTTCTATGGGCTGGAGACCAGCAGAGGCATCAGCCCTCCACTCAATCCACCCTTCTTCATCAGCTTTTTGCAAAAGAAACGAGTCTGGAGTTCTCTCTTTTGAGGCCTGCCCTTTCAGGAAAGCACATCTGCATATCGCCCCCTCTTCTTAACGGGCGCAGTGGTGAAGCTGTGGGCACTTCCCTGCACAGCTTGGAGCCTGCGTGTGCCCGCCGGCTGTCGTTTTAAACACTAATTCACTGTTTCATTTGATTGGTGGTCGAGGGAAGCAGAAGGTCTTTACACTTCAGTTGGCCATGTTACTCTTCATTTAGGGAGTTATTTAAACACGCTCCCAGTCTTAGGTCCTTCGTTATCACTGACTTCAACAAGAGACACCTGAGTAAGAAGCCCCACCTGCAAGGGGAGGTGTTTCAGGTGGGGGCTGTAATTGCTGTGTTTTGTGCAGGGTTTGAACGCCTGGTCTGGGGGCTGTTGTTAGGCTGGTGGTGTGGAGTGGTTGCCTGCTTTCTTCCATGGGTTCTGCTCGGGCTGTGTGAAGCAGGAGTGCAGTACGACTCTTCAGTGTGGAAATCAATACTGGAAGTTGGGGTTTTTCTAAGGTATGCCAAGGTGGGAGGGTGTTTGGGGACACTTATCCTGTTGCAGACTGACCTAGAGCTGGGATGGATCTTTTCTTCTAAAGATAAACAACTTAGCCCTCGGGTTTTGGGTTTGTTTTTTTTCTGATTACATAACCAGGATGGTAGGGATTTGGGGGAAGGGATTTGGGGTTATTTTTTTATACACCAACTCTCTAGTAAAAGCCAAAGCTAAGCAGTATATATTCTGTTGAAAAGGTGATTTTTTAAAATTATTTTTACTATATATATTCTTCTTAGTGCAGTGGTACCTTTTTCATTAAAAAGAGAATGTGTGTATTGATTTTTGTACCTTTATCTTGTGATGAAAAGCTATGGCTGTTATTCTGCTGCTCCACATTCTGGGAGTCACGTTTTATGTGCATATATAAGCAGATGGCAAAACAGGAGTAAATATTACCATATTCCAGCATCTCTACTGTTTATGGAGTGTGGAAGTGACAAGACAACCTTCAGTTCCCAAACTGCTCTGAATACACAGAAGTAATAACTTATGGAAAGCTGACTGACAGCTACAGCACTTGGAACATGCAGTAATGCAGACTTCTGGAAAATCTGTTTCTGTTTAAAAACAGACAGAGCTAGGACTCCTAAAAGCAGTATCAGTGATCCTAACGAGTCAGCCCCTTGGGAGCTGTGGACTGGCTGGGTCTGCAGATGACTTGTTGGGTGTGAATGCTGCTCAGTTGGTTTCTGTAGTGCACTGTTCTGTTTGTATATACTGCATGCATTTAATGGCCACAAGCATCTGCCATTTGGTATCTTTAAACCCAGGCTGTATTTCTTCAAAGACAAATGTTATTGACCAACTGGCTGGCCATTAGAAAACGTAGCTCGTACCATACATTTGGTATTTCCTTGAAGGGTTTAGCTGCACGCTTGCTGTCTGCGGAGAGCCGTGTTGCAGAGGGGAGGAGGAACACCTCCGTGCCCCTGGGATCCTGTTGTGAACACGAGACTGACTCCCGTGTGCAGGTGACTTTCTGCTGGGCAGCACTTGCTCATTAAACTGATAGTGTAGGTCTCGGAAGCACAAGGAAGACCACAGAAATTCTTGCCAGTAAAGCTCTACGCTCATTTTTACACACATTTCCCCAGTGTTCAAATACCTGAGGCTGCCACAGAGAAGCTGATTCTGTTTTGCTCCAGAGAGCTGGTTTCCCTCAGGCCTTTCCTAAAGGCGAAATGCAGGCCAGTAGCAAAGCTGATGCTCTGTATTAGGTGCTTAAAGCTGGCATTTTCTCAATCAGGATAACTGCTGTTCTAAAAAAAAGTTTATATAACTATGGAGTAGACTTATTTCTTGTTTGCTCATGACACCTATCCCTGTGTACAAGGATTCTTCATCTGGCTGATTTTAGTTATCCAGGTTGGGAAGGAAAATCGGGCACCTTCTACTGCATCATCCTTGGGGGGAACCTGAATCTTGCTAGGAGTGCAGACAGGGGAGGAAATAGCCTGGCTGAGGCTTTTATCACAGATGTCGTTCCCTTGGTGCTGCTGTAGGAAGATGAGGCTAGGCACAGCAAGGATTCTGCTAAAATCAAGGTCTGCTGGGGGACAGAGTTGGGTACCATCAAACTCACTGCAAAAATGAAAGGTCTCTATTGGTAGCTGTCCTGCTTTTGGCTGGAATCGAGTTATTCTTCCTAGTAGCTGGTGTAGTGCCATGTTTTGGATTTAGGATGAGAATAATGTTGATGACACGCTGATGCTTTAGTTGTTGCTGAGTGGTGCTTACACTAAGTCAAGGACTCTTCAGCTTCGGCCACTGCCCAGCCAGGGAGTGCACAAGGAGGGGGCACAGCTGACCCAAACTGGCCACAGGGACAGTCCATACCATGTGGTGTCATGCTCAGTGTATAAGGAGAAAGCTGGCCAGGGGCAGATGTTTGGGAACCAGCTGGGCATCAGTTGGTGGGTGATGAGCAATTGCGTTGTGCCTCACTTATTTTGTATGCTCCTTTATCATTACGATTATTATTATTTTCCCTGTCTTTTCTGTCCTCCTAAACTGTCTTCGTCTCAACCCACAAATTTTACTTTTTCCCCCCTGCTTTTCTCCCCCATCCCACTGGGGAAAAGGGCAGTGAGCTAATGGCTGTGTGGTGTTTAGCTGTTAAACCATGACAGTAGCCAGGGAATCTAGGTTCTGCTGGATTTTTCCAGATATCTTTCACCAAAACATTTATGTGTGTCTGCACAGAGAAAAAGCTGGACCTTGATGATGCTC